TTGTAGAGCGATATTTTGTGTTTTATAAAGACATGGATTAGTTTTAGTTCATACTCGACACTTCAGCTTCAGACTTTATTTTATTTATTCATTATTTGTGTGTTTATTATTTATTTAAACTGAAAAACAGACTCTGATGTGTGTGTCTGAGTCTTATTTCCTTCTTTCTCTGCTATAATGTGCAACGATGACACTGACATTTCCCCGGGACCAATAAAAAAATATCTTTTCTTAGTACATTAACAATATTCTTCCATTTTCTTCCCCTTAATCCATTTCTGGGACAGGGGGGTGGCAGTCTGAGCTGCACCCAGTACACAGCACCAGCCCCTGCACACATTAACAATAGCACAGATACAATCCTTCAGTTGCAGAAACAGTTTTTAATCCGGATTTGAACATTGTCAGTGAAGAAGCCTGTCTCACATCTTCAGGAAGACTGTTCCGGATTTTAGCGAGAATCTGAAACGCTGCCTCCTCAAACACACAAAAGTCCATCCAAAAGAGAATATATTTGTGTTTTCTTGTTCAGGGAAAACTCTGAGAATATGGCTGAACATATTTGGCTGTTTCCTGTCGTCCATATGTCGCTTTTTACATCAACAAAACCATCGCCAATATTTATCATAAAAGTTTGGAGCTTTCTGCGCCAGGATTTGTATATATTATCAAAGTATCTCTGAGTTCTTTCAAATACACGTAGAGTTAGTTTTATTCTGCTCTTGTTGTCATGTGATGGAAAACTGGAGTTCCCCCAAATGAAACCAATGTGTGACTTTTCAGATCCTGTAGAAGATTTATAAAGCTCCATCCAGACAGAAGCTGCTTAACAATACAACACTATAGGAATAAAAACCATAATGAAGATATATACATTATGCATATACGTCTGTAGTACACTGATATATAATCTATGATAATTGTAAATATATAAATGTGGTTTTTAAGACGGATTTAAACGCTCCTAAAATCTCACATTTCTCCATTTCCTTAAAAACCGTCTCACTTCGGTCCAGCTTCAGTTTGACCTGGTTGGTGTCCATTTCTCTGTGAAGTCTGGTCTAAAAGAATCCTGAGATATTTCACCAGATTTAAAATAACCAACATTCCACCATCGCCCTGAATCTGAACTGAAGAAAGGAGAAAAATCTGAGACACTCTTGTCCATAAAAGTAAAAATCCTTGCATGAGCAGGGATTAAGTAACGTGTTTGGGCCTCGTGGGGCCTTCTCCAGACGAGGTGGGCCCCTGAACGGTTTGGCCCGGGTAGAACTGGTCTAAAACGGCCCTTGTGTCAAAGTAGATTACAGTTGTGTGGTTTTATGGCCTCACAGTACAGCAGCAGCAGCACAGCCTACATAAGGGTTCAATCTAAACTCCATCCATCCATTCTCTTCCGCTTCATCCGTTGCCGGGTCGCGGGGGCAGCCGTCTAAGCAGAGACGGCCAGACTTCCCAAGCTATAACACCTAACTCTTACTTTACTCTTTCTCAGCTCAGAAACAGTCACTAAGTCTGTTCTTCTCTCGTGCACAGAACCATTCACGGCCTTTTCATCTGGATTAGCGTGTTGTCTGGTGGAGTGGTTCTTTTGCCCCCCCCCCCCCCCCCCCCCCCCCACCCCCCATGCTTCCGGTTAGCTGCTCTTTGTTAGCTTTGATCATATGGAATGGCTTGAGGATTTATTTATTGAAGAAAAGCCCCAAAGAGATATGAATGGTCTCTAACTTTGGCATTATACTTCGATAGAGAGGGAGAGAGACAGAGAGAGAGACAGAGAGCGAGAGAGACAGATTGAGAGGGCGAGAGACAGATAGAGAGCGAGATAAAGAGAGAGAGAGAGACCGATTGAGAGAGCAAAAGAGACAGATAGAGAGAGAGACAGATTGAGAGAGCGAGAGACAGATAGAGAGAGAGAGACAGATAGAGAGAGCAAAAGAGACAGATAGAGAGAGAGAGACAGATTGAGAGAGCGAGAGACAGATAGAGAGAGAGAGACAGATAGAGAGTGAGACAGATAGAGAGCAAGGGAAAGAGAAAGAGAGAGACCGATTGAGAGCGAGAGAGAGAGAGAGTGAGAGACAGATAGAGAGAGAGAGACAGACAGAGAGAGAGTGAGAGACCGATAGAGAGCGAGAGACAGATAGAGAGAGAGAGACAGACAGAGAGAGAGCGAGAGACAGATAGAGAGAGCGAGACATACATATAGAGAGAGAGAGACCGAGAGAGCGAGACAACGAGAGAGAGAACAAGAGAGAGAGGCAGATAAAGAAAGAGAGAGAGAGCAAGATGATATAAAGTATAAATAAGTCTGCTAAATGACTTTCTGGATCATTAAAACTGTAGAAGATAAAGTTAAATGTATGTTTTAGTGACGTCTCTTCTTCAGTGAACTCTTCTTCGTTTCATGCACCTGTGTCTTGTGTTTGAAGTGAAAACCTGCTGCAGTGGAGTCTATTCTCAGCGGCTCCTCCTCTTTGTTATCTGGGTCATGCGCCGTGTGACTCTCTCCAAAAATGTTGCTTCCTTTCCGCTCCCTCCTGCTACAGATTATAATTAAACACACACAATTATCCCAAACTTAATGAGATTTCTGCACCAGGCCTTTATTTAAAGAGTAATGAATAATATTTGAAATGCGAGAGTGAGAGAGAGAGAGAACGAGAGAGAGAGAGAGAGAATGAGAGAGAGCGAGGGAGAGAGAGAGAGAGCAAGGGAGAGTGTGAGAGAGAGAGCGAGGGAGAGAGTGAGAGAGAGAGCGAGGGAGAGAGCGTGAGACAGTGAGAGAGAGCGAAAGAGAGAGAGCTGCGATCTTGAACCACACTCAGCAGCTTTAATTACTAAGACACGAAAAGTCTCAAAAGCTGTTACCGCTTTTTCAAAAAAACTGTTTGGTATCTTTACATTCGTCCACTCTGCTTTGTTTTAGATTTATTACAGAGAGAGCGAGAGAGAGAGAGAGAGAGAGAGAGTGAGAGAGAGAGAGTGAGAGATAGAGAGCGCGAGAGAGACCAGAGAGAGAGAGAGACAGAGAGAGCGAGAGAGACCAGAGTGAGAGAGAGAGACAGAGAGAGCGAGAGAGACCAGAGTGAGAGAGAGAGACAGAGAGAGCGAGAGAGACAGAAAGAGCGAGAGAGACCAGAGTGAGAGAGAGAGAGAAGAGAGAGGCTGTGTTTCCTTCAGGTCTGGACCAGAGACCGGTTCCTTCAGGTCTGGACCAGAAACCGGTTCCTTCAGGTCTGGACCAGAGACCGGTTCCTTCAGGTCTGAACCAGAGACCGGTTCCTTCAGGTCTGGACCAGAGACCGGTTCCTTCAGATCTGGACCAGAGACCGGTTCCTTCAGGTCTGGACCAGAGACTGGTTCCTTCAGGTCTGGACCAGAGACCGGTTCCTTCAGGTCTGGACCAGAGACCGGTTCCTTCAGGTCTGGAGCCTGTTGCGTGGGCCACATCTGGACTTGTTTACAGATGTTTAGCTTTATTTACACCTCTGACTTGGCTCCAACAAAAGTCTCTGTCCACTAAACTCTCCAGGACTATTATTAACCTGCTCCTCGTGGACCGTGCAGACCGGGATCTGGGTCACGGCAGCGTTTCCACAACAACAGCTCACGGTCAGAAAGAAAGAAAGAGAAATGGATGATAATAATAATGTTAGAATAAATAAAGTAATTTAAAGTAGTTTGTTCCTGTTTGTGCCGCAGTTTACTTATACATTGACAGATAAATCTGGGCAAGGCGCTGAAACCCTTCACTCCTGTGTCTGTGCGGTGTAGGAACGTTTTGTTAGTTTTTAATGTTATATAAATGCTTCACTATGTAAATGTATCTATTTCCCATAATAATAATGCATCAGTTTTATACAGTAAAATGTCATTATGCATCGGCCCCTCCCACCACCACCAACCATTCACACACACACCAGACTCATGTGGGGGAAGTGTCTTGCCTAAGGACACAAGAAGAATTTGGTACTTTACAGCCGCAGCCGCCCCACTGTGGCACCTGCTGTTCCCAGAGGTCTCCCATCACAGCACTAACCAGGCCCTGCCCAGCTTAGCTTCAGAGGTCTGACGGGATATGGATTTCACCGTTGGTGGAATCCAGATTTCTACTAATTAAAGTAAATAACGTTGAATTTTCCAAATCATCAAAAGACATATTTGCTTGAATGAAAGAAAAGCAGCTTCAGCACCATGGAGAGCTCTGCAGTGATGCATCTATAACATCCAAGACACTTCACCCACATTGCCTAGAATGAGTCTGGTGTGTGTGTGAATGGTTGGTGGTGGTCGGAGGGGCCGATGGCACAGACTGGTTGCCTCGCTTCTGTCAGTGTGCCCCAGGGCAGCTGTGGCTACAGTAGTAGTTTATCACCACCGTGTTTGGAGTGAATGAATAATGACATGTGAAGAGTCTTTGAGTGTCCAAAAAAAAAAAAAGAAGCTATATAAAACCAGTGCATTATTATTTCTCACGCATTGCGTATAAAATATAGTCTTTTTATCACGGTTGCTGGTTCAGCACCATGGTCAGCTCTACGGAAAGATTCACATGTATCGACCATACATCAGTTCATTTAACTATACAGTATACACCAACTGATAAGTAATAAGTAATACACTGGGGTGGATTCAGCACCACGGACAACTCCCGCACAAGTTACAATAATACGTGTTTTATTGTCACTCAGCTTGTAGCTTGAATTAAAGCAGCGTACATAAGTGTGGGAGTGTGTTCAGAACGCTGGACAGCTCCACAACATAATACATCTATATTCAACCAGATATCACTGTTAAAGAACCAGAATAAAGGGTCTCTCTATCAGCACCATGGACAGTTCCCCTTTAAGCCGCTGTTATTATAATGTAACGTTTATCTCTATTGTTTCAACACACAGTCCTCACAGGAAAGATTGGGCAGATTCAGAACCACGGACAGCTCTAATGTATGGAGCAAAAGAAATGTAAGAATCCAAAGTCTGTATCATTGCCTCAGACAGCGAGACCCTCCCCCCATGTGCTATCTGTATGGAAATGTGTGCTCCGCAGCTGGAATGTGTCGTGTCTTAATAGTTGCGATGTGTTTGTCCTGCGTCTCGGAGCCGTGCCTCGGGCCACACTCACCTCCGCAGCATTAGGATAATTCCCCTCCGCACTTGACTCCTCATTACAGCAGTGCAGCAGATAAAGACTGATCCTCTCTCTGTGAGACGCACACGGCTCCCATTAGGTCTCACGCATTCACAGAGACGCAACCGTGTGTTTTCAATCGTCAATTATGTGGAAATGGTCCTCGTTTTTCATCATTCTCAAACTAATATCTATAATAATAAATAATATCTAATATATAGCAGCGATTTTAAGAAATGAAATGAAAGATTTTTGTTATATTTATTTTATATTTATCTTAAAACTTGAGACGTTCCTAGTTTTTGTGACTTCCTGTTACTTAAAGAGAAATAAAAAAACATCAGGTTCTGACTTTACCATAAAACCTGTCTCTTTGTTTTCATGGAAACGATTCAAAGTAAACAAAAGTGATTTTTAAGAATGTATATTTTTTATCTTTTTATTTATTTAACAAGGACAATGAACAATGCTAGTTTTCAGCTCATGTCCCTCTGAGTTTTTCCCCACAATGCATCACTTCATTTTTACAGCAGTGACTGAACATTTAGAGTCTTAGACATTCCCCAATCATGTAAAGACTAAGTTTATTCTGTCTTTATAAACGAGATGAAGTCAGCGGGAAATAAAACATGGTATCATATGTTTCTCTGCTCTTTTCTGATCATGGAAATCTTTGAAGAAATGAATCAGAATCATTTTTATTGCCACGTAAGAAACACGGAAAATACATGTATTTTCATGAAAAGAATAAAATCACAGAATAATGTATTAGTTTTTTAAATGAGGATTAAAACATTATTTGTTTCAGATGGAGTCACTCGGCCCCGATTGATGCTCTCTCTCTGTCTGACTCCTCTCTCTCTCTGTCTCTCTCTTTGTCTCTGCCTCTGTCTCTCTCTTTGTCTCTCCCTCTGTCTCTCTCTCTCTGTCTCTGCCTCTGTCTCTCTCTCTCTCTGTCTCTCTGCCTCTGTCTCTCTCTGTCTCTCTATCTCTCTCTCTGTCTCTGCCTCTGTCTCTCTCTCTCTCTGTCTCTCTGCCTCTGTCTCTCTCTGTCTCTCTATCTCTCTCTCTGTCTCTGGCTCTGTCTCTCTCTCTCTCTGTCTCCTTGTGGATGAATGAACTTCAGATCGCCGCCACTGCTTCTTCTTCTTCTTCTTCTTTGTCGGAGGCTTTTAGCGCCTTTGTCACTTCTCCCAGAGGCCCCCGACCTCCCGGACCCCAGCCTCGCAGCTCGATCCTGGGACTGACAGCACCACGTTCTGCCCTGGTTCACGCCCGCAGAAGGACACTCGTCTTGTTTACACATCAGCACCTTTTAGCACTTTCAAAACTCATGAATAAATCTCTCTCTGAGGAAAACATTGGATTTGACTTTGAATAAAATAAAACATTGGTGCAACAGACATTTAAAAGGAGTCACTATATATTATGTCTATCCTGAATGTGACTGTATACAAATGTAAACACAGGTTATTATTTATGCCCTATTTTATTTGTTATTTATATATGTTGGTTATTTATATATTCTTATTCTATGTTATTTGTATTTTTCTATGTTATATGTATATTTCCATGTTTTTTATATATTTTTATGTTTTTTATATATATCTTTGTTATTTTTATTTGTGTCTAAAGCGAGGCCTAGCATCAGTTCAAATCTTATTAATCAACGGCGCTGTAATTATTCAGTTACAGAAATGAATCTTGAATTAAAAAACCTGTCACTGCCTCAAAACAATTAAATATCAGGTATATTTCCCCGGAGCGCGTGCAGGTGATTATCAGACTTTGAGGCGCGCGGTGATTAACGCACTCACACTTTTACTTTCACTTTCCGCGGCTTTGGTCTTTTCTGCTGCGGCTAATACTCGGATACTTCACATCAGGCAGAGCGCGAGCCTCCGGAGCAGCTGTACCGACTTCAGTTCATTGTAACTTGAAAATATTCAGTTTCAGAGCTGAAGCTGCAGATGCAGGACCCGAACCTCATGATGAGAAACACTGACGAACACAGCGGGTCACAGCTTTGTCAGAGCAGGACGTGGGAACGGAGCACGTGACGCGGGCCGTATTCATCCGCGGTCATTCATCCACGCGCACAACAAAGTAAGAGGCTCCCGCAGCTGTGCGCGCGGCCCACTCCCACGGCACGCGCCCGAGGAGGCTCCACGCGCACGAACACAGAGCTCAGTGAAGAGCCGCAGAGAGAGCAGGAAGTTTCAGCGTCACTTGATGACGAAGAGGAGGCAGTGCCGCGAACTGCTGCTCAAACACTCACACGGGGCGCGCGGCGGAGGACAGACGCACAGAGACGCGGAGGCACGCGGACAGACGCACAGAGACGCGGAGGCACGCGGACGGACGCACAGAGACGCGGTCTGCAGGACGTACAGAGCTCAGCTTCACTTCTGAGTCCGCGCTCAAGGTGAGACTTTATCCACGAGGAGAGAAACAGGTCTGCTCCATTTAAAGTTAAATGTTTTTATAATGTTTACAGAGTATAATATTTAAAGATAATATGTTTTTATAGTGTTTACAGAATATATTTTTTGAAGTTAAATATGTTTTTATTGTGTTCAAGATTAAGAGATCCTTTATTCGTCCCAGTTGGAATGACAGAATATATATATATATTTATTGAAAGGATTCAGTTGTATTTAATTGTCTGTAATCAAACTGATGCATGACTTTGTTTAATTATAATGTTTTTAATTTATCTTAAATCATGTCTAGACTTTAGCCTCTTGTGTTTTATTAAAGTCTGTTTTAGTTTTCTCTGCTCCTGCTCCACATGACCCTCTGTTCTCTCTGTTCTCTGTCACAGACAGAGCCAGTCTCGGTCTCGTGATGGAGCCCAGTGTCCGGGACAGCGCGGAGTCCAGCTCCAAAGAGAGCGGGTTCTCCGGTTCCAGCCTCAAACCGAACCACGTGGGGCAGACGGTGCTGTACGGGATCCCGATCGTGTCGTTGGTGATAGACGGACAGGAGAGACTCTGCCTCGCGCAGATCTCGAACACTCTGCTGAAGAACTACAGCTATAACGAGATCCACAACCGGCGCGTGGCCCTCGGCATCACGTGCGTGCAGTGCACCCCGGTGCAGCTGGAGATCCTCCGCAGAGCGGGGGCCATGCCCATCTCCTCCCGCCGCTGTGGGATGATCACGAACCGTGAGGCCGAGCGTTTGTGCAAGTCTTTCCTCGGGGCGCACTCTCCCCCGAAGCTCCCGGAGAACTTCGCATTTGATGTTTCTCACGAGTGCGCGTGGGGCAGCCGTGGGAGCTTCATCCCCGCGCGCTACAACAGCTCCCGCGCAAAGTGCATCAAGTGCTGCTTCTGCAACATGTACTTCTCCCCGAACAAGTTCATCTTCCACTCGCACCGCACTCCTGACGCCAAGTACACGCAGCCGGACGCTGCCAACTTCAACTCGTGGAGACGTCACCTGAAGCTCACGGACCCAGGCTCCGCCACCGACGTGGCTCACGCGTGGGAGGACGTCAAGGCCATGTTTAACGGAGGCAGCAGGAAGAGAACTCTCCCGTCCTGCTCCGAGGCCCCGTTAAAGACGCACGTGCCGCAGAGGCCACCGGAGGTCCCCGCGAAGATCCTGAACTGTGAGGAGCCGCGGGGCCCCGCGCGGAGCTACCCGGTCATCCCGGTACCGAGCAAAGGCTTCGGGATGTTACAGAAGCTGCCTCCGCCGCTCTTCCCGTCGCCGTACAGTTTCCCCACGTTCGGTTTGTGTCCAAAGAAAGATGAGGAGCGGCCCACGCTGCCCGGTGTCCTGTGGCACAGCACGGCCAAGGACCCTTACCCACCGTTCCCGGTGTTCTGGCCTCTGCCGCCGTACCCTCCACGCGGACACGCACCCAGACACGTGGATTCGGACGTGGACGTGGAGCACTGTGACCACAGCTCCAACACGTCAAAGGACAGTGCGCTGCTGGACACGGACCGCTGCTCGAGCACTCAGTCGTTACGTAACGAGGAGGAGAAGTCTGGAGACGAGGCGCGTGCCTCCGACGGCTCCGTGACGCCGCTGGCGCCGCGTAAACTCAGCTACGTGTCTGCGTTCCGGCCCGTGATCAAAGACACCGACTGCATCGCGCGCCTGTACGGGCCCCGTGGCACATGCCGGCCCGGGTACCTGTCCCCGGACTTTCTGAGCGAGAGCTCAAGCTTCAGGTCCACGTCCCCGTGTGCGTCCCCGTGCGCGGAGAGCGACGGGGACGCGGACGTGGACGTGGAGACGCACAGAGGCGCAGAACAGGAAGAACCTCTGCACGTGCCATCAGCGTGTCCCTCTACGCCTCCACGAGCCCCAGAACACAAGCATGACGTCACCGACATCAAAGACATCACCGACATCACTGACGTCACTGACATTACCCCCCACGAGGCCCCGCGACCCCCGCCTCACAGAGAGCACCTGCCGCCAGAGAGCTGCTTCACAGAGGTGAGGTCCCTGTGAGAGGCCCTTGTGTGAGGCCCCTGTATGAGAGGCCCCTCTGCCAGGCCCCTGTGTGAGAGGCTCCTGTGTGAGGCCCCTCTGTAAGGCCCCTGTGTGAGGTCCCGTTGTGAGGCCCCTGTGTTAGATAACTATGACGTAGTGATTTCTTCTTTGTTTTAGTTTGACTTTGTTTCTGTCGCAGGTGTTTCCTGCGCAGGCGCAGAGGAGCCGCGCATTCCTCAGCTCCGCGGTGCTGTGTGCGCAGGGTACAGTACTGTTACTATACTAATAATACTATAGTACCAGGATACAGTACTGTTACTATACTAATAATACTATAGTACCAGGGTACAGTACTGTTACTATACTAATAATACTATAGTACCAGGGTACAGTACTGTTACTATACTAATAATGCTGAGTACAGTACTGTTACTATACTAATAATACTATAGTACCAGGGTACAGTACTGTAACTATACTAATAATACTGGGTACAGTACTGTTACTATACTAATAATACTATAGTACCAGGGTACAGTACTGTTAATATACTAATAATACCATAATAACTAATACTGTACTGTACTGATATTACTGATAACTAATGTCATTATTGTTATGTATGATGTTGTTGTTACTGTTTAGTGTTGATATTGTCATTATTATTATTGATAATAATAATAATTATTATTATTATTATTATTATTGTTAGTATTAGTATTACGTTATCATTTGTATCATTATTAATATGATTTTTGCCTATACTTATTATTTTCCATGAAAGTTGTATTTTCTCCTCGTGTAAAAGTTGTTCTGCTGCAGATGAAAGCGGCGGAAAAGAGGAGCCGTCCTCCACCGTGGAGGAGCACAGCGGGGACGAGACGCAGCAGGACTCGGGGGACGGTGAGGCCTCTCCTTCACATACACATATAATTATATATTATATATATCATATATATATATATAACAGTTATAACCAGAGGCGTGTGTTGCAGGGGACGCGCACGCGGCCGCGCACAGAGGGCTACAGAGTCTGGCTAAAGGTAAGATGGTGTGTATATTTCTATCATTTATTTAAACAATAAAATAAAATAAAAACACTTCTCACATGAAACAAAAACTCACTGTCGCTGTTTTTCAGAGGAATTACAGAAGCAGCTTTTGGAGCAGGTGGAGCTGAGGAAGAAGCTGGAGCGGGAGTTTCAGAGCCTCAAAGGTACTAATATATTATTATTAAATCAGTATTATTATTATTATTATCATTATCATTATGAATATGAATATTATTTAAATTATTATTATTATTGTCATTATTATCATTATAATTATTATTAATATAATTATTGTTATTATTATTATTAGTAGTAGTAGTAGTAGTAGATGTTGTAGTTGTACTATTATTAGTATTATTATTTTAATATTTATGTATTTATTTGTATTGATTTCACAGGATCCATAGTTAAGAATTATTACTGTTACTAATGTTATTAAGATTAGAGAAATAATAATAATTATTATATTATTATTATTGTTGTTGTTATTAACGCAGGCCTCGGCTTTAGAACCAGGCCTTTTAAACACATCTGAACAAATACAGTCAAAGAAAAAGCAAGTTTTTGTTGTTTTTGTTCCATTTTATAATTAGGCCGATTTTCTATTTTAAACCCGCGTGTCCTTAGACGGCACGCACCTGACTCCTGCTGGATCAGGGTTAATAATAATAATAATAATAATAATTAATAATATAGAATAACACTAACAGTAAAAGAGCCATATGTTTAAATGCTTAAGAACGTGTTTTAAATCGGCCTCAGATGTTTTTAGTCGAAACCTCGCGTTGTAATCGAGTCATTGAAGCAGCGCCACCTTTTGGACTCGACTTTAGACTTGATCTTTATGTTTGTTTAACTGAAAAGCAGCTGAACCATGTGTCCTCCGCTGACGCAGCCTGGTGTTATGCAGATAACTTCCAAGACCAGATGAAGAGGGAGCTGTCGTACCGCGAGGAGATGGTCCAGCAGCTGCACATAGTCCGAGGTACGACTCAGACCCATCTCAGACCCACCTCAGACCCACAGACCCACCTCAGACCCACAGACCCACCACAGACCCATCTCAGACCCACCACAGACCCACCTCAGACCCACCACAGACCCACAGACCCACAACAGCCTATACCTCAGACCCACACTTTCACCTTCATTCTATAGATTATGAGTTATATTAATATAGTCCATGTTTTACACATCCCATGTAGCAGCAGACCCACGTCACAGCTGAAAATACAGATATATTTTTTTTATAATAGTAGTATTAATGTCAACGTTTTCGCCAAATATATTTCTTTATTTGCTTATTTTTCACCGACACGCATCTGTCTATAGGCGTATACTTAATTTTATTTATTTATTTTTTATCTCTGAGGACTTTACAAAGCTGCCGATTCAACAACAACCGATCAAACATATCAAAAACATTAGAACAAAATTAAATGATATTGATTATAACAATAGAGAGACATTGGTCCATAAGGTGCAGAGACCAATACATGTGGATAAATGTCGAGTGTCCTGGATCATCACACTGTGCTTATGCCTCCTACATCGGCATGGAACAACATTAAAACTGAAAACTAAAAATACTGTAGCTCTGGTTCTTTAGGATCGTCATTAATTGCTTTTGTTGGTCTCAGAAGCTCACGACGCGTTGCACCATTTCTCGTGCAAGATGCTGACTCCACGGCACTGCGCGGGATCCTGCACCTTCAAGTCTCCTCTGATGCCGCCGTGATGCCCTCCACCCCCGGGTCCACACCGCGAGCCTCCCGGAGAGAGACCCCCCGGAGAGAGCTCCCGACCGTAGGCTGCTGTACATATGACGTTCTTAGCGCGGTCTCTGCTCCGAACGGACTGGAACTGGCCTCGCGCCCTGTGGAATTTGTACACTTCACTTTTAATGTTCACTTTTCTTTGAATAGACTAAAATATTACCGATATTTATTATTTGTGGCAAAGTGCAATGGCAATATACGCGCTGTACGGTGTAACACTGGCCCTGTAGCCCATGGTGTCTTGGATTTCAGTTGTGACAGACGCTCTCTCTCTCTCTCTCTCACTCTCACACTCACACACTGACACGTCTCAGCCTGGGACGGTACGTGAGCAAGGATAGAAGTACACTAAGATTGATTTGAATGCACTTTATAGGGTTGTATTTGTATATTAGCCTATAATTACAAAAGATGAAGGCCGCCGCCGCCGCCAAGTGACGCTTCCAGACCTTCCCCCGGACGTAAACACCAGAGCACACGTGACAGAGATGAGCTAGTGTTGTTATTATTGACCAATTTGTTTGAATCTCAAAATAATAAATGGTTTTATCTTATGAAAGTCTCGTTGTGCTTGTATTTCAGATTCAGTTTGTCATTTGTAGTAAAAACACTTCAGAATATACTCTTGGTGTTTATACATGTGTGAATCAGACAAATGTATAAAATTATGCTTTTATTATAAGGTTCTTATCATCTCTCTTAGATTATCAAAACAATATACAAAAGTAATTCTGTAGAAGCCTTTTCAAAGCGTGTCGCAGCTTTCAGAGAGAAAGTATTACTACATTTAAACCTTTTTCTTACAATAGAACCCTCTGGAAGAACTAAATCTACTTGTTTGTAAATTAAAATGGTCATATAGTCATAGAAATCATAACATTATTCTGTATTCTTGCATTTATGTCAATGGAGGCACGTAAAGTTAAGTGGGAGACCTTTCCCATCACACTACAGTCTGTGATCACCTTGTTATTTTTCACGTACTTTTGGCGCCCTCTGCTGGACGAGGCTGGTACTGTCTGCGCGTCCCTTGAGGATGACTGCTGCGCATGCGCCCCAATGTAACAAGATGGCGGAGAGTGCGGAACTGAAGGTAAAGCGATACTTCATATTAGCTTGAAAAATACACGTCCTGGTTTCGTGAGTGGGACTTTTCTCCGCGCGGACGCAGTGATTAAACACTTTACACACGTTTAATGAATAGATTATGAAACTCAGCCCGATATTAGCCTAAGAATAAAGCCCAGACTAGATGTTAGCCGAGAGCTGTTAGCTTTAGCTTTGTTATTGTTGCAGACGATCCCTCAGACTCGGCTCAGGCTGAACACCGCAGCAGTAATAACGGTTAAAACAGATACATGTGAGATGTTTGGCTGTGTTTGGGCCGCACATGTGTTGACATGGTTTAATGACACAGGATCAGCAGCTGTAGCAGGGATTGTCTACAGTCGCATCAGCAGAAGCACAGGGTCCTGTCAGTTTTCGGCCATCGCCAGCTCTGGTCATCAGTTTGTGTTTTGAGTCTTTAACGTAACAAGGAGGATTTTCCCGATTGTTAGAAAAGAACTGCCTTCTCCACGTTTTAAACAAATATCTCTGGTCTTATTTGACAAGCACGTATCATCAGATGGATTGACAAATGGGAGGACCAATAGTCTTGATGATCCACCCGGAAGTAGAAAATCCTATATACCTTTAGGTGTTGAATAACTTGCTTTTATAAATCTACACATCTCAGCACGTGCCATTTAAAGCCAGTCCAGCCATGACACCTCTCATCTATCTTATGTTTTTATTGTTTTCTCCATGCTGGAGGCTGGAGGCTGATTTTTGCTGTTTTTGTTGTTTCTGGTCATAGTTAGTTATAGTTATAGTTTCTCTATTATTCACGCACTGTGAGTGTGTGAATGACCATGTAGAGCACTGTGTGAGTGTGAATAACCATGTAGAGCACTGTGTGAGTGTGAATAACCATGTAGAGCACTGTGAGTGTGTGAATGACCATGTAGAGCACTGTGTGAGTGTGAATAATCATGTAGAGCACTGTGACTGTGTGAATGACCATGTAGAGCACTGTGTGAGTGTGAATGACCATGTAGAGCACTGTGACTGTGAATAACCATGTAGAGCACTGTGACTGTGTGAATAACCATGTAGAGCACTGTGACTGTGTGAATGACCATGTAGAGCACTGTGACTGTGTGAATAACCATGTAGAGCACTGTGACTGTGTGAATAACCATGTAGAGCACTGTGACTGTGTGAATAACCATGTAGAGCACTGTGACTGTGTGAATAACCATGTAGAGCACTGTGTGAGTGTGAATGACCATGTAGAGCACTGTGACTGTGTGAATAACCATGTAGAGCACTGTGACTGTGTGAATGACCATGTAGAGCACTGTGACTGTGTGAATAACCATGTAGAGCACTGTGACTGTGTGAATGACCATGTAGAGCACTGTGACTGTGTGAATGACCATGTGAGAGCACCGAGCGGATGTTTGTCAAGTTAACATCTAACTTCTGTCATCAGCAAATGGTGATGAGCCTCCGAGTGTCGGAGCTGCAGGTGCTGCTGGGATACGCCGGCCGTAATAAGCACGGACGCAAACATGAACTTTTGACCAAAGCCCTGCACCTTCTCAAAGCCGGCTGCAGTCCTGCCGTACAGATGAAGATCAAGGAGCTGTACAGACGGAGGTTTCCCACGAAGATGGTTTCTCCCGTGGACCTGGCGCTCCCTGGAGTCCACAGTGCGGCCAGTCTGTCCGCCGGCCTGGCTCAGCTCAGCTCTCCGTCTCCTCTGCTTCCAGTGTCGTTACTGGGACCCAAACATGAGCTGAGCCTGCCTCACCTCCCGTCTGCTCTGCACCCGGTTCATCCAGACGTCAAGCTGCAGAGGCTGCCCTTCTACGACCTGTTGGACGAGCTCATCAAACCCACCAGTTTGGGTGAGTTTGATCATGTTTTGGACCGACTCAAAGAACATCAGGACTGTTACTTTAACGTGTGTCTGTGACCCTCAGTCTCCGACAGCAGCCAGCGTTTCCAGGAGGCGTGTTACGCTTTCGCTCTGACTCCACAACAAGTGCAACAGATCAGCAGCTCCATGTAAGTACTTTACTCATGTCATAATACACAACTGTGGCTGCTTTGATTCACTTCACCCACGTTTCCATCTTTCAGGGACATATCTGGGACCAAATGTGACTTTGCTGTTCAAGTGCAGTTAAGGTGGGTCCAGCAGAAAGGTCAGAGGTCAGGGACCTGTGGCTCAGGAGCCAGATGTGACACTTCTGAGTATCATTGATTATAAGAATGTTTTATGTTTTGGATTTCTTCAGTATAATAATGTTTTTAAACAAAAGAGACCAATTTTACACTCTATATGTGTTGCTGTTGTTGTAAAAAATCACAGAATCAGAGTAGAATAATTTGTATGGCTCCCACAGAAATCCATTTAAAATACAAGATTGTTTTGACTTTCAGCTGAAAAGGTTCCAGCCTCAGAAATAGATGTTTATTGAAACATTATAATAGTATTTGTATCACGCAGAAGCTTTAGCGCAGGGGTGGCCAACCCGCGGCTCGTGAGCCGCATGCGGCTCTTTGGCTGGTTCCGTGCGGCTCTCGGGCTTTCACTCGACAAGCGTCAAAAACGCCTCGGTGGTGGCGCTGCCTTTCATTCCATATGTAGTTCTGACCAATAGTAAAGGCCGACTTCACTCCACTAGCCAGGCCACCAAAACAATCTGACGTCGGCGAACGTCAATTCTGGTTGGTCAGATGCGCTGTCAATCACTCTGCAGCTGCTACCTCAGCTGTAGCAAATATCATAACAAACAACACGTTGCCTCGAACCATGACGTCCGTACGGAAAATAATTCCTTGGTCGCTGGATGAGGGCAACACCTTCCTCAGTTTGAGGAGAGGACACCAGCCTGATCTCGCTGGTTCCACCAGAAACCAGAAGGTGTTTGTGGAGCTAGCGCTAAGGACGGAGCAGAATGATTCCCACAAACATGACAATGCAGAGAAAAGTTAATAAGCTTAAAAGTGACAACCGTGAAATGAAAGATCGCAGCAGCAGAAGTAGAGGCAGACCCGAAAAGTCTGGAGGTGGTTTGACCAAATGGATTACATTTACGGACATCGGCTAACACCGGCTAACATGCTAAAACCAGCTAACACCAGCTAGCATTACACCAGGAGATTAGCCAACTCTGCCTGGTGAGTGTCTGTCTTCAATCAAATTCAAAAGTATCTGGTCTTATACTGAGCATGTGTCTGTGGTTCTAAATCAGCTAAAGTGGTGTTGGTGTTATGTGTCAAATCTATATCTTTTACTAAAGACAGTTGTGTTTCTGCTGAACACTGGGTTGAAACTTGATTTTTTTTTCTTGGTTAGAGATTGAAAGCATTCATTTCGGAATCATAATTGATGTTCGCTGACGTGAAATTGTTCTGGTATCGACTCGCCCGGTTAGAACCAGGGCCAAACCATTAATAAAAAGTACCGGGGAGCGGTTGAAGCGAGCGGTGGAAGCGCCCGCACCGGGGAGAGTCGAGTCCAGCCCTTTAGTACTGTACGAGTCAATTTCTGTCATTATCATGTTGATGACATTTACAATAAATCTGTCTGAGCAGAGCACACCTCTCTCTGCACAGACAGATTGCATGTGTGTGCGCGTGTCTGCTCGTGCGCGTGTGCGTGCGTGTGTAAGGGTTGGGGTGATGTTTATGTAGTGCACATTTGTATGATGTGGCTCTTTGCTGTAACACAGTAAAAAAAATTGGCTCTTAGTCTCTGACTGGTTGGCCACCCCTGCTTTAGCGTCTGGTTTGATTATGAAGAATCTGTATCTGAACAATCTTTATTCACATTGGACCTCTTGGCTCTGGTTTGTTCAGGTTTTGTTTATCAGAAACAAGCTGTCCACAGGAGGACCACTTTCCTCCCACTCTTTGTGTCAAAGTAAACGGAAAGCCCTGTAACCTCCCGGTGAGTGACGTCACGTCTGTCCATCTCCAAAAGTCACATGTAAATAACTAGTTTCTGTCTCAGGGATATCTTCCTCCAACCAAAAACGGTGTTGAACCAAAAAGGCCCAGTCGTCCCATTAACATCACGTCTCTGGTGCGACTCTCCACCACCGTCCCCAACACCATCGCGGCGTCCTGGACCTCGGAGATCGGGAGGGTGAGAGTTCACGGCTGCGGCTCCGTCTGCTTTGGCTCTGACTAAACCTCGTGTGTCTGTGTTTGTGGCAGAGTTTCTCGATGGCCGTGTATATGGTGCGGCAGCAGACGTCTGCAGTTCTGCTCCAAAGGCTACGAGCCAAAGGGATCCGGAACCCAGACCACTCCAGGGCCCTCAGTGAGTCCTGCTCCATCACGTCTCCTCTAACGATAATAGTTTGTTTTTAGTGGTGCTTGACTATGATTCTCCTCTAAATGTTCTTTATAATCATTTAAATTGCTTCCTGTGTCTTTCCCAAGTCAAAGAGAAACTGACTGCGGATCCGGAGAGTGAGATCGCCACCACCAGTCTGCGAGTGTCACTGCTGTGTCCTGTAAATACTCTCCTCTTCTTTAGAATCACAATATTATCCACATCTTGGTTTAGGAAAAGGAAGTTTATTTCAACAAGGCTTTGAAATCATAAATAATTACACTACATTTAAAAGAGTAAAGATAAAATGCTTCAGTTGTAGTCACAGCTAAACAAAACTGTTTTTGACCTGGATTTGGACATTGTCAGAGAAGAAGCCCGTCTCACATTTTCAGGAAGACTTCCAGATCATAGCTGGGTACATCTGACGCTGCATCCACATTTTTAGTCCTTACTCCGGCGCTACTAAGGTCTTACTATGACGCTACGATTGCGTTACTATGACGTTGCTATGGTGTTACTATGACGTCACTATGGTGTTACTATGACGTCACTATGGCGTTGCTATGGTGTTACTATGACTTCCCTATGGCGTTGCTATGACTTCCCTATGGCGTTGCTATGGTGTTACTATGACGTCTTTGTGGTGTTACTATGACGTCACTATGGTGTTGCTATGGTGTTACTATGACGTCACTATGGTGTTACAATGACGTCTCTATGGTGTTGCTATGGTGTTACTATGACGTCACTATAGTGTTACAATGACGTCTATGGTGTTGCTATGGTGTTACTATGACGTCACTATGGTGATACTATGACGTCTCTATGGTGTTGCTATGGTGTTACTATGACGTCACTATGGTGTTACTATGACGTCACTATGGTGTTACAATGACGTCTATGGTGTTGCTATGGTGTTACTATGACGTCGCTATGGTGTTACTATGACGTCACTATGGTGTTACTATGACGTCACTATGGTGTTACTATGACGTCACTATGGTGTTACTAGGACGTCACTATGGTGTTACTATGACGTCACTATGTTACTGTGATGTCTCTATGGTGTTACTATGACGTCACTATGGTGTTACTATGACGTCACTATGGTGTTACTATGACGTCACTATGGTGTTACTATGACGTCTCTATGGCGTTGCTATGGTGTTACTATGACGTCTCTATGGTGTTACTATGACGTCACTATGGCGTTGCTATGGTGTTACTATGACGTCACTATGGTGTTACTATGACGTCTCTATGGCGTTGCTATGGTGTTACTATGACGTCTCTATGGTGTTACTATGACGTCACTATGGCGTTGCTATGGTGTTACTATGACGTCACTATGGTGTTACTATCACGTCTCTATGGTGTTGCTATGACGTCTCTATGGTGTTACTATGACGTCACTATGGTGTTACTATGACGTCTCTATGGTGTTACTATGACGTCACTATGGTGTTGCTATGACGTCACTATGGTGTTGCTATGACGTCTCTATGGTGTTACTATGACGTCACTATGGTGTTACTATGACGTCACTATGGTGTTACTATGACGTCTCTATGGTGTTACTATCACGTCTCTATAGTGTTACTATGACGTCACTATGGTGTTGCTAGGTGTTTCTGTGACGTCACTATGGCGCTACGATTGCGTTACTATGGCGTCACTATGGTGTTACTATGGCGATGCTTTGGCGTTTCTATGGTGTTTAATTATACAGACTGCATTAGGCTGTTTAATTATTATTTTTTTATCCCTTGTGCTGTCCTCAGGTCAAATTAACCTGCTGCAGTGATTAGGATCTAAAAGAGTCTAAATAACTCAGGGCTGGTCAAGTTTAGAGAAATCATCCACATTCAGCTCAAAAAACAATTTTTGGGGATTTTTAATCACTGAGGACAAAACAAAGGTTGAATATATTTATTTTTGTTATTATTATTCTTTTGTTTGCTGGTTGTAACTATTGTTTTATACCTTATTACTGTTATTGGCCCAAGAGGAGGATAGTGGGAAACAGGATTAAAGCTAAAAGAATCCATGGTGTTTTGCTAAATGTAACGTGCTTCTCTGCAGTTGGGGAAGATGAGGCTGATGATCCCGTGCCGCTCTGTGACCTGTTCACATCTGCAGTGTTTCGACGCCACGCTTTACATCCAGATGAACGAGAAGAAACCCACCTGGGTCTGTCCGGTCTGCGACAAGAAGGCCCCGTATGAGCACCTCATCATCGACGGGTCAGAGTCACTGTGTTACATCAATATATTAGATAGATGATTTATTGATCCTGTTGGAGACATGCAGGCGTCCAGGAGCAGAAACATCCAAACAAACAAAACTAAGATGGTCCGCTTGGTTCGGACCATTTTCTCTGCTCTGGTCCAAAGTAAAATGGACCATGAATCCTCTCTGCTCTGGTTTGGACCAGTGTAAAACCATGAATCCTCTCTGCTCTGGTCTGGACCAGTGTAAAACCATGAATCCTCTCTGCTCTGGTCTGGACCAGTGTAAAACCATGAATCCTCTCTGCTCTGGTCTGGACCAGTGTAAAACCATGAATCCTCTCTGCTCTGGTCTGGACCAGTGTAAAACCATGAATCCTCTACTGCAGCAAGATCTCAGGCAGAAAAAAGCAAGAAAAATAACAATTGTAAAACACAAAACAAAAGTTTCAGAGACACTTAGGATTCCAAAGTAGAAATAGTGATGACTCCGCCCACAACATGTCGTCTTTGTAAACAATAACAAAAGAGATCGATATGAAAGAGTTCATATTAGATCATATTAGCTACACAATATCTTACTTAAACTTAGATCAAAGAGAGTCACTGCTTGTATCTTATCTGTCAGTGTTTGTGATTCATATTTGTGTGAGATTTTAAAGATGGAGGATTTGTTCTCGGAAATGAAACCAGATTCTAACGTTTGCAGATTGTTTATGGAGATACTGAGCAGCTGCTCCGACTGCGACGAGATCCAGTTCAAAGAAGACGGAGGATGGTGTCCCATGAGGTCCAAGAGAGAGGTGCAGGAAGTGTCCTCAGGCTGCAACGGCACGGCCACAGGTGTGATGTCACTTCCTGTTTACTGACCACACTCACCAGACAGGCATGAGGAGGGACCAGAGAGAGACCAGAGAGAGACCAGAGAGAGACCAGAGAGAGACCAGAGAGAGACCAGAGAGAGACCAGAGAGAGACCAGAGAGAGACCAGAGAGAGACCAGAGAGAGACCAGAGAGAGACCAGGGACCACAGAGTCATGTGGAGAGACCAGAGAGAGACCAGAGAGAGACCAGAGAGAGACCACAGAGTCATGTGGAGAGACCAGAGAGAGACCAGAGAGAGACCAGAGAGAGACCAGAGAGAGACCAGAGAGAGACCAGAGAGAGACCAGAGAGAGACCAGAGAGAGACCAGAGAGTCATGTGGAGAGACCAGAGAGAGACCCGAGAGAGACCCGAGAGAGACCCGAGAGAGACCCGAGAGAGACCCGAGAGAGACCAGAGAGAGACCAGAGAGAGACCAGGGAACACAGAGTCATGTGGAGAGACCAGAGAGAGACCAGAAAGTCATTAGAAGGGACCAGGGACCTATGAGGAGAGACCAGAGACCATAAACCAGAGACCAGGGACCAGAGAGTTATGAGGAGAGAGACCTCACCCCTGGTTCACACTGCTCCTGGTCTCTCTCTGGTCTCGCTCTGGTCTCTCTCTGGTCCCTCTGGTTGGTCTCTCTCTGGTCTCTCTCTGGTCTCTCTCTGGTCTCTCTCTGGTCTCTCTCTGGTCTCTCTCTGGTCTCTCTCTGGTCTCTCTCTGGTCTCTCTCTGGTCCTCTGGTCTCTCTCTGGTCTCTCTCTGGTCTCTCTCTGGTCTCTCTCTGGTCTCTCTCTGGTCTCTCTCTGGTCTCTCGCTCTCTCTGGTCTCTCTCTGGTCTCTCTGGTCTCTCTCTGGTCTCTCTCTGGTCTCTCTCTGGTCTCTCTCTGGTCTCTCTGGCTCTCTGGTCTCTCTCTGGTCTCTCTCTGGTCTCTCTCTGGTCTCTCTCTGGTCTCTCTCTGGTCTCTCTCTGGTCTCTCTCTGGTCTCTCTCTGGTCTCTCTCTGGTCTCTCTCTGGTCTCTCTCTGGTCTCTCTCTGTCTCTCTCTGGTCCTCTCTCTGGTCTCTCTCTGGTCTCTCTCTGGTCTCTCTCTGGTCTCTCTCTGGTCTCTCTCTGGTCTCTCTCTGGTCTCTCTCTGGTCTCTCTCTGGTCTCTCTCTGGTCTCCCTCTGGTCTCTCTATGGTCTCTCTCTGGTCTCTCTCTGGTCTCTCTCTGGTCTCTCTCTGGTCTCTCTCTGGTCTCCCTCTGGTCTCTCTATGGTCTCTCTCTGGTCTCTCTCTGGTCTCTCTCTGGTCTCTCTCTAGTCTCTCTCTGGTCTCTCTCTGGTCTCTCTCTGGTCTCTCTCTGGTCTCTTGCTCTGGCCTCTCTCTGGTCTCTCTCTGGTCTCCCTCTGGTCTCTCTATGGTCTCTCTCTGGTCTCTCTCTAGTCTCTCTCTGGTCTCTCTCTGGTCTCTCTCTGGTCTCTGTCTGGCCTCTCTCTGGTCTCTCTCTGGTCTCTCGCTCTGGTCTCTCTCTGGTCTCTCTCTGGTCTCTCTCTGGTCTCTGTCTGGCCTCTCTCTGGTCTCTCTCTGGTCTCTGTCTGGCCTCTCTCTGGTCTCGCTCTGGCCTCTCTCTGGTCTCTCTCTGGTCTCTCGCTCTGGCCTCTCTCTGGTCTCTCTCTGGTCTCTGTCTGGCCTCTCTCTGGCCTCTCTCTGGTCTCTCTCTGGTCTCTGTCTGGCCTCTCTCTGGCCTCTCTCTGGTCTCTCTCTGGTTTCTCTCTGGTCTCCCTCTGGGCTCTCTCTGGTCTCTCTCTGGTATCTCTCTCTGGTCTCTCTCTGGTCTCTGTCTGGCCTCTCTCTGGTCTCTCTCTGGTCTCTCTCTGGTCTCTGTCTGGCCTCTCTCTGGTCTCGCTCTGGCCTCTCTCTGGTCTCTCTCTGGTCTCTCTCTGGTCTCTCTCTGGTCTCTCTCTGGTCTCTGTCTGGCCTCTCTCTGGCCTCTCTCTGGTCTCTCTCTGGTATCTCTCTCTGGTCTCTCTCTGGCCTCTCTCTGGTCTCTGTCTGGTCTCTCTCTGGTCTCTCTCCGGTCTCTCTCTGGCCTCTCTCTGGTCTCTCTCTGGTATCTCTCTCTGGTCTCTCTCTGGTCTCTCTCTGGTCTCTCTCCGGTCTCTCTCTGGCCTCTCTCTGGTCTCTCTCTGGTCTCTCTCTGGTCTCTCTCTGGTCTCTCTCTGGCCTCTCTCTGGCCTCTCTCTGGTCTCTCTCTGGTCTCTCTCTGGTCTCTCTCTGGTCTCTCTCTGGTCTCTCTCTGGTCTCTCTCTGGTCTCTCTCTGGTCTCTCTCTGGTCTCTCTGTGATTATGTGAAGGCAGAGGGATTACAGTAGCCGCTGCACTCTCCCCTCAGCATATGGCACAGAGCTTTCTGGGTTATTCCAGGTCTGTGCTGAGTGTGTTATAATCACTGCATCTGACCAGAAACTTTACATCAGAGAATCAATAAAGCAGCAGCTAATGGCCGGCTACACACTGTATACATAATCTTCATCGTATACATCCTCTTCATAAGTCAATCTGCCATTTGTCAAGATGGAGCTTCGAGTAGACCTGAACAGACAAACTCACGGACGTGTCTGTCTCTTTCTGTCTCTCTGGTCTCTCTCTGGTCTCTCTCGGTCTCTCTCGGTCTCTCTCAGTCTCTCTCAGTCTCTCTCAGTCTCTCTCAGTCTCTCTCTGGTCTCTCTCGGTCTCTCTCCGGTCTCTCTCAGTCTCTCTCCGGTCTCTCTCTCGGTCTCTCTCAGTCTCTCTCAGTCTCTCTCCGGTCTCTCTCAGTCTCTCTCCGGTCTCTCTCTCGGTCTCTCTCAGTCTCTCTCTATCTCTCTCAGTCTCTCTCAGTCTCTCTCCGGTCTCTCTCAGTCTCTCTCTGGTCTCTCTCTGTCTCTTTGTGTCTCTGTGTCTCTATCTAAGATAAGATAAGATAGACTTTATTGATCTCACACAGGAGAGACCTGTTGCTCTCTCTCGGTTCCTATCTCCCTCTCTCTCTGTCTCTCTCCCTCTCTCTCTCCCTCTCTCTCCCTCTCTCTCCCTCTCTCTCTCTCTCATCCTCTCTTCCCAGCCACTTCTCCATCTGTGACTCCAGACCTTTTGCCCAGACCTACATCCTCCACACTCACTCACTCAGTCACAAACAAACATGTATCTTATTTGTTTGTGGATCTAGAACTCTCCCAAAGTCCTCGCCGCTTGCCTCCTAAACCTCATCCCTGAACAGTTGTGTGCGGCCTTACTGGAAATCTCTAACCTCAATTTGTGTAATCCAGCGGCAGGCATGGTCCGGACTGCGCCGCGGCTTTCAGCAGGCGTTTGCAGAGGAGTCTGGGATCAGATTTGAACAGATTAGAACGAAGAGCCAGGTCTGGGAGGGTGGATACAAGGATTTGGCGAGCTCCACGACACGGCCCGTCACTGATAAGTCGTGCTGAGCCGGTGCTAAGAGGATTTGGCCAGACTAATCCAAATCAAAGACATACCATGTGAATTACATCCCAAACAGGTTCGCTTACACAGATTAGGAAGTGCATGTAAATCCTGTCACACTCTGCTCAGTGCTGCTCTGGAGATGAGCCACTGCACAAAAGGCCGCCATCCGACCGAGAGCTGGGACTCTCTCTGTCTCTCTCTCTCTCTTTCCGTCTCTCTCTCTGTCTCTCTCCCTCTGTTTCTCTCTTTCTGTCTCACTCTCACTCTCTCTCTCTGAATAGTAAATGCTGAATAATTCCTGGGGATAAAGTGATGGCTCCAGCAGCACAATTATTGAACGGTGCAGTGTTTAAAGACCGAGAGAGAGAGACAAGAGAGAGAGGAGAGAGAGACCAGAGAGAGACCAAAGAGAGAGACCAGAGAGAGACCAGAGAGAGAGACCAGAGAGAGACCAGAGAGAGACCAAAGAGAGAGACCAGAGAGAGACCAGAGAGAGACCAGAGAGAGAGAGAGGAGAGACCAGAGAGAGACCAGAGAGAGACCAAAGAGAGAGACCAGAGAGAGACCAGAGAGAGAGACCAGAGAGAGACCAAAGAGAGAGACCAGAGAGAGAGACCAGAGAGAGACCAAACAGAGACCAGAGAGAGACCAGAGAGAGACCAAAGAGAGAGACCAGAGAGAGACCAAACAGAGACCAGAGAGAGACCAGAGAGAGACCAAACAGAGACCAAACAGAGACCAGAGAGAGACCAGAGAGAGACCAAACAGAGACCAAACAGAGACCAGAGAGAGACCAGAGAGAGACCAGAGAGAGACTATAGATCCGCCATCCGACCGAGAGCTTCCGAGAGCTGGGACTCCGTTTGTTCCAAGATTACGCCTCGGCTTTGTGGACTAGGCGCACTAATTATTGCCTCCTTTTCTCAGACGCTAACAAGACTCCTAGCATAGCACACCACCCGCTCCCAGTTTGTTATGATTATTGCATCAAGGCTCAGCTCGGCTCCGCGCTTCACACATTTATGTCGAAGCCGAGAGGAGAAAAACAAAAAAAATAGCTTGTTTTTTCCCCCGAAGAACAAACAAGCTTCGTATCTGCGGCTTCAAAGAGCTGCATCTGTCGGGAGCCGGAATGTGGAGCAGAGAGGGATGCTGAGCTCTGCATCTGTACTGAGCACCAGGAACACACACCAGAACAGAACAACCCCGACCTGACGAGACACGACTCCTATTGATCATGTTTTAGTCATGATTTAATGTCTGTGTGCTTCATCAGGCGAATACTGGTGAGGAGAGACCTGCAGGAGAGCTGGGAGTCCTCCTGCTGATGATCCACTCCACATTTACTAACATTTACTAACATTTACTAACATTTATTAACATTTATTAACATTTATTAACATTTATGGACATTGGTCTCTGCTCATGATGGACCAATGTCTCTGTGTGTTTTTCATTATCATTTCCTGCATTGACTGTAAATATCAGTGACGCCATTTTCTCTGTTGAAATGTTTGTGTGATCAATATGGGCCTTTACAAAATGGCCGCCAGTAGCAGTTTAAGATAAGATAAGATGTGCTTTATTTATCTCACAGAGGAGAAATGTACATGTCACATTTGGCATGGATAGAGACACTCAGATTGTGCAAAAGGAGGAAACGTGCAAACATGTTACATGCAGGATATATGTACAATAAAGTGACAAGTGTCAATTGGAAACAGTGTCAATAGTAGTGCAGGTTTTCACACAGTGATCATTTAAAGTGACTTATTGTACAGTCTGACAGTGGTGGATAAAGGCCCTGCGGTACCGCTCCTTCTTCCACTGAGGGTGCCTCAGTCTTCCACTGAAGGACCTCCTCAGCTCCTCCTCAGTCCTGTGCAGTGGGAGGTGTTGTTCATGATGGAGGTGGCTTTGACTAGCACCTCCTGTCCCTCACCTCCTCCACAGAGTCCAGGGGCCTCCTGTCCCTCACCTCCTCCACAGAGTCCAGGGGCCTCCTGTCCCTCACCTCCTCCACAGAGTCCAGGGGCCGCCTGTCCCTCACCTCCTCCACAGAGTCCAGGGGCCTCCTGTCCCTCACCTCCTCCACAGAGTCCAGGGGCCTCCTGTCCCTCACCTCCTCCACAGAGTCCAGGGGCCTCCTGTCCCTCACCTCCTCCACAGAGTCCAGGGGCCTCCTGTCCCTCACCTCCTCCACAGAGTCCAGGGGCCTCCTGTCCCTCACCTCCTCCACAGAGTCCAGGGAGCAGCCCAGAGTGGAGCTGGCCCTCCTGACCAGCTTGTTCAGTCTGTTTCCTCGGTTGAATCTCCTCCGACCAATCAGAGAGCGGGGGAGGCGGGTGTTGTAGGTCGTGTCGGTGACGTCAAGAGTTTGTGCTGAATTTACTGGTTGTAGTTTGTCGGAGAATGTGATAGTAAAATAATCTGTTCTGGTTCAATCCAAATATCAAGAAAATGCTGCAGAGTTGTTGTGGCTCTACTCCCCACGGGCTCCGTTAGCGGCAAAGGAGAGGCTAAAGCTAGGCTAAACGCTAAGTGCAAAAGACTCACTCGGGCTCATTACATACGTGACAGTAAACTCAGATCCAATGGTTTCAATCTACAAAAGGAGTTAGCCCCTCCCACCTGTTCACGGACTCAATGGAGCAAATCCAGACCTTAGTACCAAATGAAATGAGTACTATGGTGTGGTACGACTCAGATTGGTCCTGTCACTAACCCTTTACACTACTAGGGACTATTTAATTTAAGGCTCAGAGGGTTCAGTTTAATTCAATGTGTTTCTGTGTCGCTCTGAATCACAACAGTCGTATCTCGGAGGACTTTACAAATCTGTCAATTCTCCGAGAGACCGACGTCCAACAGAGAGAGACAGCTCTAAAAAAAACCTCTAAAATCTCTAAGTTACCACAGACTGTGAGTGGTTATTATGGTCTGTACGTCGTCACACACCATTTGACCCCAGTTATTTTCGCTGCCAGAGTCTGAGAACACCACATTTTCAATTACAAGGCAAACAGTGTATCAATATGCATGGATTTCCAGCCCATATAACAGCAGCTGAGTGGGTATTGTCAGGGGGGGGGAGGAGGGGGGAGGAGGGGGGGGAGGGGGGGGGGTGGCCATGTCAAGGTCAGGATTCTGTTAATGAGGGACGGTCTCTGAATAATGGAATGGGCTGAGCAGTATTGACTGTTGGAGCAGAGGCGTTTAAACCGTTGCCAATCATTCAGGAAAATCCTCCCAGCGCTTTATGGGGCGCTTGTTATTTATGCAGCAATGTCCGGGCGGGTGGGGGCTCTCTCTGTGTATGTCTCTCTCTCTATCTCTGTCTGTGTGTTTCTGTCTCTCCGTTTCCCTCTTTCTGTCTCTCTCTGCTCTCTCTCTCTCTCTCTCTCTGTTTCTCTCTCTCTCTCTCTGTTTCTCTCTCTCTCTCTCTGAATAGTAAATGCTGTAGAGCAGTCAGGCGTGCATCATTCCTGGGGATAAAGTGATAGCTCCAGCAGCACAATTATTGAACTGTGCAGTGTTTAAAGGCCGAGAGAGAGACCAGAGAGAGACCAGAGAGAAACCAGAGAGAGAGAGACCAGAGAGAGACCAGAGAGAGATTAGAGAGGGATTAGAGAGACCAGAGAGAGACCAGAGAGAGACCAGAGAGAGACCAGAGAGAGATTAGAGAGACCAGAGAGAAATCAGAGAGAGAGACCAGAGAGAGATTAGAGAGACCAGAGAGAGATTAGAGAGAGAGACCAGAGAGAGACCAGAGAGAGATTAGAGAGAGAGAGGAGAGAGAGAGAGAGACCAGAGAGAGAGACCAGAGAGAGATTAGAGAGAGACCAGAGAGAAACCAGAGAGAGACCAGAGAGAAACCAGAGAGAGAGAGACCAGAGAGAGACCAGAGAGAGACCAGAGAGAGACCAGAGAGTGAGACTAGAGAGAGAGAGACCCACTGGACCAGGACCAGGAGCACTTTCTTTTCCAGATGATAGACTTTGTGACACGGTGCGGATTCGTTCAGAACAGAGTGTTTTAGGACAGCGCAGAACAAGAGGAATAGATAGAAAAAGACAGCTCTGGGAAAAGTCTTTATCCGTCGGCCTTTAGCTTGACAGCGCTGTCGAGCCGTGGCAACAAAGAAAATGAAAAGAGCGTCATTAGCATGTGAAAGGCTGGGCTTCTGCGGCGGCATCCAGAAGCTAAAGAGTCTGATTCTGAGGATATTTAACCTCCATTCAGACGCTTACAAAGGCCTGCTGTCCACCCAGGACCGCACTGAGCTGAGCCGGGCCAGGCCATTACTGTGTGTTGTAATGTGTGTTGTAATGTGTGTTTCCTGACTGGTACCAGCCAAAAGGGCCCCAAAAAGGTGAATTATGTCATATAGACCAGAGAGAGACCAGAGAGAGAGACCAGAGAGAGACCAGAGAGAGAACCAGAGAGACCAGAGAGAGAGACCAGAGAGAGAACCAGAGAGACCGGAGAGAGACCAGAGAGAGAACCAGAGAGACCAGAGAGAGAGACCAGAGAGAGACCAGAGAGAGAGACCAGAGAGAGAACCAGAGAGACCGGAGAGAGACCAGAGAGAGAACCAGAGAGACCAGAGAGAGAACCAGAGAGACCAGAGAGAGACCAGAGAGAGAGACCAGAGAGAGAACCAGGAGACCAGAGAGAGACCAGAGAGACCAGAGAGAGAGACCAGAGAGAGAACCAGAGAGACCAGAGAGAGACCAGAGAGACCAGAGCGAGACCAGAGAGAGACCAGAGAGAGACCACTGCTGTAATGTAGTGTTTCCTGACTGGTACGGCCAAAAAGGTGAATATTATGGCCTTTCTCTGATCTCTCTCTGGTCTTTTTCTGGTCTCTCTCTCTGGTCTCTCTCTCTGGTCTCCCGCTGGTCTCCCTCTGGTCTCTCCCTGGTCTCTCCCTGGTCTCTCTCTGGTCTCTCTCTCTGGTCTCCCGCTGGTCTCTCTCTGGTCTCCCGCTGGTCTCCCTCTGGTCTCTCCCTGGTCTCTCCCTGGTCTCTCTCTGGTCTCTCTCTCTGGTCTCTCTCTGGTCTCTCTCTCTGGTCTCTCTCTGGTCTCTCTCTCTGGTCTCTCTCTGGTCTCTCTCTCTGGTCTCTCTCTGGTCTCTCTCTCTGGTCTCTCTCTGGTCTCTCTCTCTGGTCTCTCTCTGTGTCATCAAACCACCTTTTGATCCTCTCCTGAATCAGATTATTGCACAAAACAATAGTGAAAGTGCCTGAGCTCCTCTTGATGCGCTGCTAGCATGAATACTAATCTGTAAAGGTGGTACCTGTAAATACACTCAGAGAGAGCAGTCCGCTCTAATTCCTTATGGACGGGGATTACAGAGAGCCTTCTATCTGAAATAACATCCTCTGAGCGAGAGCCGGGTCCACACTAATCCTGATGGATCCTGACCAATCCTGCTGCTCAGCTACTGCAGTCCGGTGCATCCAGGTGGAGGGGGGAGGAGGGGGGAGGGAGGTGGAGGGGGGAGGAGGGGGGAGGAGAGGAGAAGAGGAGGACTGAGGCACTTATCTGTGGCCCTGGATCACACCACCTCTGCTTATCTACCCCAGGAGGAGGAGGAAACATGACTGTTCTCTGGTCTCTCTGTGGTGTCTATCTGGTCTCTCTCTGGTCTCTCTCTGGTCTCTATCTCTGGTCTCTATCTCTGGTCTCTATCTCTGGTTCTCTCTCTGGTCTCCCTCTGGTCTCTCTCTCTGGTCTCTCTCTCTGGTCTCTCTCTGGTCTCTCTCTCTGGTCTCTCTCTGGTCTCTCTCTGGTCTCTCTCTCTGGTCTCTCTCTGGTCTCTCTCTCTGGTCTCTCTCTGGTCTCTCTCTGGTCTCTCTCTCTGGTCTCTCTCTGGTCTCTCTCTCTGGTCTCTCTCTGGTCTCACGGTACAAGTCAGGAAACACTACATTACAGCACACAGTAATGGAATCTGTGGTCTCTCTCTGGTCTGTCTCTGGTCTCTCTCTCTGGTCTCTCTCAGGTCTCTCTCTCTGGTCTCTCTCTCTGGTCTCTCTCTCTCTGGTCTCTCTCTCTGGTCTCTCTCTAGTCTCTCTCTCTAGTCTCTCTCTGGTCTCTCTCTCTGGTCTCTCTCTCTCTGGTCTCTCTCTCTGGTCTCTCTGGTCTCTTATCCTCCAGGTCACTCCACCTCTGCTTATGTGCACCAGGAAGAAGAAGAAGGAGAAGAAGAAGAAGGAGGAGGCGTTGAAATGCAAGAGAAAATATGCCTGTTTCCATGGCAACCCCTCCATCCATCCACTCGGCCCCTCCCACCGTGAGGAGGTCTTTGTGTTGGAGAAGCTAACGCCTGTAGCTGACGACAAGGATGTTCTTCACCAGATCAGACGTGATGAGAGGCTCCGGGACGTCTGCTGCTTTTTAAACACTGATACAAATGTTTCTATCACAGCTTTTTCCGATCAAGGCCTTTACCCAGGCCAGACCAGACCAAGCCAGACCAGACCATAGTGAGTTAGTCATCTTTGCATCGTTTCAATGGTACATGTCAAAGTAATAAAATCAGTGACTTACTAATGTCTGGTGCAGAAGAACCAATATACACTGTAAACCCTAACTTCAATCCTACTTCAGATATCAAAGTTATTTTAAATAGATTTTTCCCAGTAAGTAGATATTACTCATTTATTGTTAGTTTATTTAAAGCTTGCCTATGTCACTCAGGGTTTTCTTTGAATTGAACTGTTTCTGTTCAAGGAAGCCTCACTTTTGACATTTTGATGTGTAGAGTCTTTAATGAGGCAGGTGTGACAATGGCAGGGTGTCCTGGTGGCTGAGTGGGTAGCACCATCACCTCTCAACCACAGGGTTCTGAGTATGAATCCCGGTCGGAACATAAGTAGAAATTTAAACTTTATTGCAATCACTCGAGTTTACTTGGTAATATCAAGTAAAGGATGTACTCGAGGAATTCAAGTGAAGTTAATACGCAATTTATTTCCATGTTTTTTTCAAGTAAACTTTACTTGTCAGGGTTTACAGTGTACTTTCTAATCTCGCTCTGGTCTCTCTCTCTGGTCTCTCTCTCTGGTCTCTCTCTCTGGACTCTCTCTGGTCTCTCTCTTTACTCTCTGCTCTCTCTCTGGTCTCTCTCTTTACTCTCTGCTCTCTCTCTTTACTCTCTGGTCTCTCTCTCTGCTCTCTCTCTCTCTCTGGACTCTCTCTCTGGTCTCTCTCTCTGGTCTCTCTCTGGTCTCTCTCTCTGCTCTCTCTCTCTGGTCTCTCTCTGGTCTCTCTCTGGTCTCTCTCTGGACTCTCTCTCTGGTCTCTCTCTGGTCTCTCTCTCTGGTCTCTCTCTGGTCTCTCTCTTTACTCTCTGGTCTCTCTCTCTGCTCTCTCTCTCTGGTCTCTCTCTGGTCTCTCTCTCTGGTCTCTCTCTCTGGTCTCTCTCTGGTCTCTCTCTCTGGTCTCTCCCTGGTCTCTCTCTGGTCTCTCTCTGGTCTCTTTCTGGTCTCTCTCTGGTCTCTCTCTCTGGTCTCTCTCTCTGGTCTCTCTCTGGTCTCTCTCTGGTCTCTCTCTAGTCTCTCTCTGGTCTCTCTCTCTGGTCTCTCTCTCTCTGGTCTCTCTCTGGTCTCTCTCTCTGGTCTCTCTCTGGTCTCTCTCTCTGTCTCTCTCTCTGCTCTCTCTCTGGTCTCTCTCTGGTCTCTCTCTCTGGTCTCTCTCTCTGGTCTCTCTCTGGTCTCTCTCTGGTCTCTCTCTCTGGTCTTTCTCTGGTCTCTCTCTGGTCTCTCTCTCTGGTCTCTCTCTCTGGTCTCTCTCTCTGGTCTCTCTCTCTGGTCTCTCTCTGGTCTCTCTCTCTGGTCTCTCTCTCTGGTCTCTCTCTGGTCTCTCTCCTCTGGTCTCTCTCTGGTCTCTCTCTGGTCTCTCTCTGGTCTCTCTCTGGACTCTCTCTCTGGACTCTCTCTCTCTGGTCTCTCTCTCTGGTCTCTCTCTGGACTCTCTCTCTGGACTCTCTCTCTCTGGTCTCTCTCTCTGGTCTCTCTCTCTGGACTCTCTCTCTCTGGTCTCTCTCTCTGGTCTCTCTCTCTGGTCTCTCTCTGGTCTCTCTCTGGTCTCTCCCTGGTCTCTCTCAGAACCAGGATCTTAAAAGTGGCGTTAACTGCCATAGTATTTTAATTCACAATAGTAGTAATCTCTGAGGACTTTACAAAGCTGTCAGAGTAAAGTTGTGTACCCCAGCTTTAGATCAAGTCCCATAGCGTTTGGTTTATAGGTTTACTGTTGTCATGGAGATAGAGAGACAGAGAGATAGATAGATACCTTATTGATCAAAAAGCACAGATATGCAGCAGACAGAAAGACTATACAATTATTTAGTAAAGATTGAGGATTCATTTAGCGTTAAAGATGCCATACCCGATTTGTTTTACTGAGTTCATAAAAATGCTTGTTACTGTAATTCCCTATTTTGGGGATCACTTTAGTTTCTCCCGTGGTGTCCTGGGCTCCTATTGGCCAGTCATTCCCCACCTGGAGCTGATTGACTGCGATGGCTGGATGCTGATTGGGCAGCAGCTGAGGCAGGCCTTCAATCAGCGTGCGCTCTCCTGGAGGACCCGCCCTTATAAACTGCCAATCCTCCGCGGCTCGGGGGAGCTGGAGTCAGTGGACTCTAGTTCGCCGTTAGTTTTGTCTGTGTTCTGTCACTTGTGCCGGTACCTTAGTTCAGTGACTTGTTTAGGTTACACATTTGGTTTTGTCAATTGCTTACTTGTTTTTATAGGTTAGTTATTTACTGTGTGTTATGTAGATATTAATCCTATTTTGGTTTACCTACTTTGTCACCTAAATAAATTATGATTTTAGTTACCATTCTACCATCTTGGTTATTTTGTTACTTCCTCACACCTAGCTGAGCCGGGTCGTAATAATGCTTATTACTACAAACAAGTTGTATTAAAATTCATAATTTAATGTAAAACTTGAGCTCATTGATTCAGCTGTGTATGAACTCAGACGTAAAAAGTGCTGAGTAGAGACTTTAGCGTGACGCCGGCTCTCCTCCAATCACAGAACGAGGAGCGTCCTCTAGCCTCTACAGCGCTGCTAAACACAGTAGCATGTTAGCATACGTGGCTATAACTCCTCTGGCTGTAACTGCAGACACAGCAAAACAGCCCAAACCACACAACAGTGAGGAAGAGAAGAGGAACTAAAGCCACAACATGATCAAAGAAGAAACCAAGCCCTGAACACAGCTAGCTTACATTGTATCCTCTGGAGAGACTTGTCTGTGGGAGAGACCTGCGGGACCGCCTCGGACTATCTACACTCGGACTATCTACGCTCGGACTATCTACGCTCGGACTATCTACGCTCGGACTATCTACGCTCGGACTATCTACGCTCGGACTATCTGCGCTCGGACTATCTACGCTCAGACCACATTCGGACGTGAAACTAGCGGTAATCTTTCAGTTATATATTTTGTTAGCAGTGCGTTGCTTTTGTACCATTTCATCAGTGATTGTTGTACAGCTTACAAGAAGTTCCGCTAATGCTAATGTTAGCCTCAGATCGCAAATAAAGCTAGTTGGCTCCGTGGGAGGAGAGCGTAGGGGAAATGAGAAGCCTGTGAGTGAGTTGGGGGCGGGGCTAAACTTTCAAACCTTGCAGAAACGGGTATAGTTCCTTTAACCCTTGTATTATGTTAAGGGTCAATTTGACCCATTTCAGTTTTTGTGTTGATCAAAGTACTGGTTTTCTTTTTCTTGCTGAAATTTGGTGACTTTTCCTCATCTAGGGTCATGAACTGGTGTGTAAAATTTGGACACTTTGATGTGTAGTGGAATGTCTGTGCAGAGTTTGTATACAAAGATGATGTTGCGGGTCATTTTGACCCAGACGCTTTAATGTGGGTAAATAGTTAAGATCCAAAAAAACATGTCTCTTTGACATTGTATTTGGATTGCCTCTGAGACCCAGAACCAGGTGTGTGAAGAGAGGGAACTTTCTCACACTTGTCCTTGTCACTGTTCTCATGTCATCTCTTTTGCCTAGCGTACATCGGACTGGCAACTGAATATATCCGTCGCCTTTGAGTTGCTGCCCCGCACACATCGACAATGTGGCGAAAACGGGTAACTCCAGTAGCAGACCAGTCTGGGGAATAACAGGTAACTCCAGTAGCAGACCAGTCTGGGGAATAACAGGTAACTCCAGTAGCAGACCAGTCTGGGGAATAACAGCGCGTACATCGACAGCAACTGGCCTCAACTACAGTGTGTTTTCTGACATAAACTGTTGCGGGCGCAATACACGCAATACACACACGTTGTCGGAGCGGTGCATGGAGCGAGCACATCGGGTCATATCTCCGAAACTGAGGACAAATAGTTGCCAAAAAGTAGAACACGGGCAACTGACTGAATCCGGAGATCGACTGTTTATCTCCAGTTGTAAGAGCGCGCACATCGACCAATTTCGGCAACTGATCATCTCCATCATCTCCTCTCAGTCGCCAAAAGCCGCCTTGCAACTAGTTGTCTCCAGTTACTCTGTCCATGTGCGCTAGGCTTAATACAAACTCACAAAAAATGCGCTCCAGAAGGATGACGACATCTGAGGAGGCTTTATCACAGATTTTTAACTGGGATAATGATGTAGAGGAAGAGACTTCAGAAACAGAGGATTTTTCAGAGACAGAGGACAATGTTATTGCTGATCCAGATTGTCAATTTTCCTACAATAAGGAGGTTTCAGAGGACGAATCTTTGGTCAAGGAAAGAGGAAGGGAGGAATGAAGTAAGGTAGGAAGGAAAGAAGGGACAAAGGAAGGAAGGAAGGAAGAGAAAAGAAGGGAATAGAGGAGGATGAACAGAGAGAAGGAAAACAGGATGAGAAGACGGAAGGAGAAAGCATGGCAGGAGGGAAGAATTGTCATTTTGACCCGAGAGGAGGACAAGAAGATTAGACAAAATCTTTCTTAAATATAGCGTTGGAATTAAAAATGTATTGTATGTCACTTTTCTAAATATTTATATAACCTAAAATAAAGTTGTTATTGGTTTAACCTGTTTTCTTGACTGTTTTGAGTGCATTTACACAGTACGGGTCAAAATGACCCGCAACATAATCAATGTCATTTTTTTTCAACATAATACAAGGGTTAAAGGATTATAGACCACAGTCCGCTCTCTTCCTCTTTGCATTTCTACTCTGTCTTTCCTCTGCATGAGAACAGAACGAGCCACAGAATGAGCCCTTCAGTTTTGCGGCAAAAGGAACTTCCAAGTACCAGCTTTCATCTGTTTGTGAGGAAAAGAAATTGTACTTGAGCTTAAGCTGCAGCCGCACACAGGAAGCAGAGAGGACGCTGGGCCGTGAGAGCCGAGCGTGGCCCTCCACTCTCCGGGCCCCCCACTCTCCAGGCCCTCCACACTCTCCGGGCCCCCCCTCTCTCCGGGCCTCTCCACTCTCCGTGCCCCCCCACTCTCCGGGCCCTCCACTCTCCGGGCCCTCCACTCTCCAGGCCCTCCACTCTCCGGGCCCTCCACTCTCCGGGCCCCCCACTCTCCGGGCCCCCCACTCTCCGGGCCTCTCCACTCTCCGGGCCTCTCCACTCTCCGGGCCTCTCCACTCTCCGGGCCCCCCACTCTCCGGGCCTCTCCACTCTCCGGGCCCCCCACTCTCCGGGCCTCTCCACTCTCCGGGCCCCCCACTCTCCGGGCCCCCCACTCTCCGGGCCCCCCACTCTCCGGGCCTCTCCACTCTCCGGGCCTCTCCACTCTCCGGGCCCCCCACTCTCCGGGCCTCCCCACTCTCCGGGCCCCCCACTCTCCGGGCCTCTCCACTCTCCGGGCCCTCCACTCTCCGGGCCTCTCCACGGCCTCGAGAGCCAATCCTGCGTCCTCTCTGGAGTGGCGTGGCATGGAAACCTCCTCTTTGTGAACGCTCAAGTGCTACTTCTGCTCTGAATATGTGCTTGTACCTCGCTGACCACCAAGGATTACTGTACGAGGACCATACAGACTTACTTTGAGGCAAATTACTGCGGAAATAGCGGCAAAAGAAATGTATGTGTGTGTGTGTTCTTGTTTTAATATCCCGGTGGGGACCTGAACCTGACTACACACACATCGCTCCGGCCTGAACATGCATTTTCATTTAACTCATCGACTGCTGCCGTTTTTGATTATTTCACTGATTCTCAAGACCCACAGAATATTATTTCCGTAAGACAGTGTGAAATATGAAACCAGATTCTGAAAGACTGGATTGTCTACTTTCATCAGCAAAAATAAGTTTGTTTCTAGCTAGTTTTGTTGGGCTGTAATCCCCGGTGGAAGAGAGGGTCTCAGACAAATACGTCAATGGTGAGTTCATTAATTGTTTTATGGGCCCACAGTTTATTTATTGATTTGAATGGGACCGTGCACATTAATCAACACGTGTCCATGTAAATATGTAAATATAGTTTCCATCTGTAGTTGGAATAGAAAAATTCATATAATTTTTTGTGGTTTCTAAATGATTTGCTAAAAACAAAACACACAAAATCATTATTAATATGCACAATAAATGACCGTTCAAGGCCTTATGGGGAGAATGAAAATTAGGTAGATTTACAACCGTGTGTGTGTGTGTGTGCATGTGTGTGTGTGCGTGTGTGTGTGTGTGTGGAGCAGCAGATATATTTGAGTTTATAGATGTGTTATTACCTGGATGGGGTCCTGCTAGCTTAACCCTGTCTCCAGCAGGACAAGAGGCCACTTGCGGTACTGTCTCTGGTCTCTCTCTCTGGTTTCCCTCTCTGGTCTCTCTCTTTGGTCTCTCTCTTTGGTCTCTCTCTCTCTGGTCTCTCTCTCTCTCTGGTCTCTCTCTTTGGTCTCTCTCTCTCTGGTTTCTCTCTCTGGTCTATTTACAATCCCTCTCTGCTGGAGAGACCTGGGGCAGACATCTTGGAGAGACCAGGGGCAGACATCTTGGAGAGAACCGGGGGCAGACATCTTGGAGAGAACCAGGGGCAGACATCTTGGAGAGACCAGGGGCAGACATCTTGGAGAGACCAGGGGCAGACATCTTGGAGAGACCAGGGGCAGACATCTTGGAGAGACCAGGGGCAGACATCTTGAAGAGACCAAGGCTTGGTTTGGCCTCATAGATTTCCGCCATCTTGTTCACTCCATCAGTTCAAGTAGAAAAGAAAAAGGAAAAATATGCCTCCTCACAATAAGACGGGTTTAATATTGTTCTGAAATTGTTTTGGTTACAAAGCTGAATGTAAATGCATCTACACAAGAAAACAAAACAGGAGTAAATATTGTGTGGGTGAAGCAGCTAATTATGAACACAGAGTCCCCAGATGGAAGAAAGCCTGTGTCTTTACAGCTACAGCGCAGTTACTGACAGAATTAGATTTCTAAAAGGTCACCTGAGACACTTACATGCAAACCAGAATATCATTTCACAGCCTCTTTTCAAACGGCGTAAATCTCTTTCAATAGAAAACCATGAAGAGCAAATATGGAACTGGAGACCAAATAGAAATCTACAAAAGAGCTTTTATTACTCGATTATGTACAGTATTCACAGCTGAAGCACCGCTCCAATAAGCCAGGGAACTTTCACTCCACATAAAAACAATTTAAAAAAACAAACCCGACAACAGTGTCTTGTTAGAGTCCCCCACAGAGTATTGTATGTACACGAGTAAGTCCTGGAGGGGCAGAGACCTTCCAGTCCGTGAGCCGAGAGAGCCAGGCCTCGCTCTGGTCTCGCTCTGGTCTCGCTTCTGGTTTCGCTCTGGTCTCGCTCTGGTCTCGCTCTGGTCTCGCTCTGGTCTCGCTCTGGTCTCGCTCTGGTCTCGCTCTGGCTCTCGCTCTGGTCTCGCTCTGGTCTCGCTCTGGTCTCGCTCTGGTCTCGCTCTGGTCTCGCTTCTGGTCTCGCTCTGGTCTCGCTCTGGTCTCGCTCTGGTCTCGCTCTGGTCTCGCTCTGGTCTCGCTTCTGGTTTTGCTCTGGTCTCTCTGGTCTGGCTCTGGCTCTGGTCTGGCTCTGGTCTGGCTCTGGTCTGGCTCTGGTCTGGCTCTGGTCTGGCTCTGGTCCGTGAGTCCAGTGTTAGTGACAGTGGCAGCAGCAGCTCAGTAGATGACCTCGTACACAGTGGCCTTCTTGTCCCCGGATCCTGTCACAATGTATTTGTCGTCGGTGGAAATGTCACAGCTCAGAACCGACGAAGACTCTTTGGACTGAGGACAGAAAACACACAAGTCACACTCCAGTCCAGTCCAGTCCAGTCCAGTCCAGTCCAGTCCAGTCCAGTCCATACACCGGCAGCAGCTACGCTCCTCTTTATTACAATTATCTGAAGTATACTCTCTCTCTGGTCTCTCTCTCTAGTCTCTCTCTCTAGTCTCTCTCTGGTCTCTCTCTGGTCTCTCGCTCTCTGGTCTCTCGCTCTCTGGTCTCTCGCTCTCTGGTCTCTCTCTCTCTGGTCTCTCTCTCTGGTCTCTCTCTCTCTGGTCTCTCTCTCTGGTCTCTCTCTCTGGTCGCTCTCTCTGGTCTCTCTCTCTGGTCTCTCTCTCTGGTCTCTCTCTCTGGTCTCTCTCTCTAGTCTCTCTCTGGTCTCTCGCTCTCTGGTCTCTCGCTCTCTGGTCTCTCGCTCTCTGGTCTCTCGCTCTCTGGTCTCTCGCTCTCTGGTCTCTCGCTCTCTGGTCTCTCTCTCTCTGGTCTCTCTCTCTCTGGTCTCTCTCTCTGGTCTCTCTCTCTCTGGTCTCTCTCTCTCTGGTCTCTCTCTCTGGTCTCTCTCTCTGGTCTCTCTCCACAGACCTGGAATATACTGGCGCCGTACGGAGTCCTCCAAGCGTTTAACAGATTGTCCTTCCCGGTGCTGACAAACCATTTACCTGCAGAGAAGAAGAAGAAGAAGTCAGGACTATACAACACACAACACAATACTAGTCCTTCCTTATCATTCCTGGTCCTGGTCCTTTCTTATCATTCCTGGTCCTTCCTTATCCTTCCTTATCCTTTCTGGTCCTTCCTTATCATTCCTGGTCCTTCCTTATCCTTTCTGGTCCTTCCTTATCTTTCCTGGTCCTTCCTTATCATTCCTGGTCCTTCCTTATCATTCCTGGTCCTTCCTTATCTTGCTGGTCCTTCCTTATCTTCCTGGTCCTTCCTTATCTTTCCTGGTCCTTCCTTATCTTGCTGGTCCTTCCTTATCTTTCCTGGTCCTTCCTTATCTTTCCTGGTCCTTCCTTATCTTTCCTGGTCCTTCCTTATCATTCCTGGTCCTTCTTTATCATTCCTGGTCCTTCCTTATCCTTCCTGGTCCTTCTTTATCATTCCTGGTCCTTCCTTATCATTCCTGGTCCTTCCTTATCCTTCCTGGTCCTTCCTGGTCGTTCTCACCGCAGTAGGCGAACTTGAGTGACAGGACGCAGCTCTCGTGCAGGTGCAGCTGGTACTTGTCTGGTTTGGAGTGATGCAGAACCTCCACGTTACTGCTCTCCATCCCCACGGCTAACCACTCCCCCGTCGGACAGTACCCCAGGGAGAAGATCTGAGGAGAGAGACACTTTAGCTCCTGATCAGAGAGAGACACTTTAGCTCCTGATCTGAGAGAGACACTTTAGCTCCTGATCAGAGAGAGAGACTTTAGCTCCTGATCAGAGAGAGAGACTTTAGCTCCTGATCAGAGAGAGAGACTTTAGCTCCTGATCAGAGAGAGACTTTAGCTCCTTATCAGAGAGAGACTTTAGCTCCTTATCAGAGAGAGACTTTAGCTCCTGATCAGAGAGAGACACTTTAGCTCCTGATCAGAGAGAGAGACTTTAGCTCCTGATCAGAGAGAGAGACTTTAGCTCCTTATCAGAGAGAGACTTTAGCTCCTTATCAGAGAGAGAGACTTTAGCTCCTGATCAGAGAGAGAGACTTTAGCTCCTTATCAGAGAGAGACTTTAGCTCCTTATCAGAGAGAGACTTTAGCTCCTTATCAGAGAGAGACTTTAGCTCCTTATCAGAGAGAGACTTTAGCTCCTGATCAGAGAGAGAGACTTTAGCTCCTGATCAGAGAGAGACTTTAGCTCCTGATCAGAGAGAGAGACTTTAGCTCCTGATCAGAGAGAGACACTTTAGCTCCTGATCAGAGAGAGAGACTTTAGCTCCTGATCAGAGAGAGAGACTTTAGCTCCTGATCAGAGAGAGAGACTTTAGCTCCTGATCAGAGAGAGACACTTTAGCTCCTGATCAGAGAGAGAGACTTTAGCTCCTGATCAGAGAGAGACACTTTAGCTCCTGATCAGAGAGAGAGACTTTAGCTCCTGATCAGAGAGAGAGACTTTAGCTCCTGATCAGAGAGAGACTTTAGCTCCTTATCAGAGAGAGACTTTAGCTCCTGATCAGAGGGAGACACTTTAGCTCCTGATCAGAGAGAGAGACTTTAGCTCCTGATCAGAGAGAGACTTTAGCTCCTGATCAGAGAGAGAGACTTTAGCTCCTGATCAGAGAGAGACACTTTAGCTCCTGATCAGAGAGAGAGACTTTAGCTCCTGATCAGAGAGAGAGACTTTAGCTCCTGATCAGAGAGAGACTTTAGCTCCTTATCAGAGAGACTTTAGCTCCTGATCAGAGAGAGACACTTTAGCTCCTGATCAGAGAGAGACTTTAGCTCCTTATCAGAGAGAGACTTTAGCTCCTGATCAGAGAGAGAGACTTTAGCTCCTGATCAGAGAGAGAGACTTCAGCTCCTTATCAGAGAGAGAGACTTCAGCTCCTTATCAGAGAGAGAGACTTCAGCTCCTTATCAGAGAGAGAGACTTCAGCTCCTTATCAGAGAGAGACTTTAGCTCCTGATCAGAGAGAGAGACTTTAGCTCCTGATCAGAGAGAGACTTTGGCTCCTTATCAGAGAGAGACTTTAGCTCCTGATCAGAGAGAGAGACTTTAGCTCCTGATCAGAGAGAGAGACTTTAGCTCCTGATCAGAGAGAGACTTTAGCTCCTTATCAGAGAGAGACTTTAGCTCCTGATCAGAGAGAGAGACTTTAGCTCCTGATCAGAGAGAGAGACTTTAGCTCCTGATCAGAGAGAGAGACTTTAGCTCCTGATCAGAGAGAGAGAGACCTACAGGAGAGACTTTAGCTCCTGATGGTACACATGGTACACATGGTACAGATGGTACACAGGGTGCAGATGGTACACATGGTGCAGATGGTACAGATGGTATACATGGTACAGATGGAACACATGGTGCAGATGGTACACATGGTGCAGATGGTACCTGTGAGGTGAAGTCGTGCTGCTGCAGCTGCCGGCCCTCCCTGAGGTCCCAGGACCTCACAGTGTTGTCCAGACCTCCCGTCCACAGTTTGGTGCCGTCGTGAGAGATGTCGATGCAGCTCGCTCCGTCTGTGTGGCCCTGGAACTGTCTGCAGCACAAGTTAGAAGCACTGTGAGTAGAGGATGTTAGAAGCACTGTGAGTAGAGGATGTTTTAGTTTTTGCGAGAATGGGAAAAATCTTTTGTTTAGTGCTTTGTGTTTTTGTTTATTTCTCTGTAACATGGTCTGTCTTGATGGATCTAAAATGATAACTGGATACAGTATTAACTTATAGCTGTCCCACCCATGGCCACAGGGGGCACTGTGGTGCTGCAGAATAAAGTCACATAGAACTCAATGTAAACTAAAACAGCTCACCCTCAGCCGACAGAGAACCTGACAGAGAACCTACATAGAACCTACAGAGAACCCGACAGAGAACCCGACAGAGAACCCGACAGAGAACCTGACAGAGAACCTGACAGAGAACCTGACAGAGAACCTACAGCTTTCATAAAGGAAGATTCTATGGGATGTTAGTGTCCCTTGTCGTCCTGAACTTTTTTTCTTCTTAAATCCTTCGGTTTTCTTTAAATCCACACTTTACTGCCACAAACTCTGCTGTTTTCTTCCCGCTCTGATCAGTAGCTGATTGGTCAGAACACTACCCTCTGATTGATCAGAACGCTGCCCTCTGATTGGTCAGAACGCTGCCCTCTGATTGGTCAGAACACTACCCTCTGATTGCCACACACCCGTATTAGGCGCAAAGCATCATGAGAGCTCTGCGCAGACCCGGGAGGATCAGACGATGCCCAAATATGGACGAATTACGCTAA